AATGCACTTGTGGGCCACCGTAAGAAATAGCTTGAGATGACACTGGGAAGCAGAATGGTTTATTTTAACAAATCTGCCTTCTAAGTTCTACTTCCTTTCTCTTATGTGGTAAATGTTTTTTAGAAGTGCAACATTTTAACTTTTTCTTTACAATCACCTTTTCACTCATTTAAAGATGTTATGCTGAAGTTAGCCAGAAGAATTTTATCTTTTTAAGAGGCCGGTCAAAAATTGGTGAGAAATTTAGCATGTAAGGACATTGATAAAGATTGCTTCGAATCTAACCCACAAGGACGTAAAACTGATTACAGCATGCCATTTTACAGTAGTTTATACCTCAATTCAGGTGGTGTAAAAATTTGAAACACGCTTCCCGATTGCAATCAGGCGTTTTCTAGTGTCAGTGGACACTTAAACCCAAACTTTAAATCCTTTGTATGCCAGCTTTTTACTTTTCAAGAGTATGCTTACCTGGTTAGCAAGCATACTGGGGAATATCATCTACCAGAACCCCCTAAGTCCCTCATTAGTGAGGACTTGGCAAGTTTATCATAATAATTAGAACTGCATCGAAAGCAAATATTTTAATACTGCTTCTCAGACTTAAATCAAATTTTTCTTTAGTGTAAATTTTGTAAAATCTGTTATAAATTTAATATTGTTCAATACCCAATGATTCAAATGCAAAGTTTAAACAAAATTATTTTAAAATGATTTCAAAGTAAGGCAGTTCGTATGATCAGGCTAATTTTCCTAGCTGTTTATTAAACCAAATCATAGTACAAAGAATAATTGAAATAACTGACAAATACCATAATATTTGTATCTTTTTTTATTTCTTCACTGAAATACACTCCTTTTTATCCTTTCAGAACTAAAATGTCAAACAGTCTGTAAAAATATTCACATTTATCTCTGTTTTTCACCAGCTGGTTCCATGATGGTTCTTAACTGTTTGTAAAAAGCCAGGACTTCTCGCTGAAATATAAAGAAAATTATCTTAAACAATAAAGAAACCACTATGACTGAACATAGTACATACGGAAATTAACAATTTTATCACAAGTAACATGATATTAAAGCTAGAAGTAACAGATATTCAAATAGAATGTAAGGGACCTGCCACCAGTTTTTCTATAGTTATTATTTGTAGAAACTAGACATGTTCAAATGCCACCAATGTCATCTGTTTAGAATAACTAGGGCACAAGAGTAAAAACTAACCATCTCTCCCACAGATAGCTGCGGGGATGATTTAATAAAGAAGTATAGTAGGAAGAAATGAATCAGTGGCCTACAACAAGAAAGTCTGGGGCCACATCAGCAGAAAACCACCAGGCATAAAAATCAAATTTCGTGTCGTTTATTTTGCTTATAAAACCATTTCTGTCCTATACCTACCTGATCAAACTCTCATGCCAGGCCTGAACCTTGGTGGTGGTGTTCTGTCTTTCCTAGCCTCCCTGGATCTGTTCCTCACTACCTTAGAGTGAATAGCACAGCTAACACAGTAGTGAAGCTTGGCGTACAGCTTAGGCAGGGGATACACTGAAATGTAGGAAATCATTGACCATAATAGGAGGTTATTAGAAAATGGTGGGGTTGAAATAAACTCTTTTCTTAAATATGATTTTAAGCTGTAAGAAGAAAGTGAAAAATTGCTTGGTGGCCTTACAGCTGGGGTTGTTAAAGGTCTGAAAACTACCAAGGGGAAAATGTTAATATTTAAATTGGTAAAATTTTATGCTTGTTTTCTGTACAACGTTGTGAAATTAAGTTCCTACCCAGAATAAGTAAAAACATTATGGACATCAGTTTTATGTACTCAGTATTGCAAAATGCCCCTTTCCTTTCACCTCCATTATGTATTAACCTTGATCTGACAGACCAAGGGTCATCAATTTTATTGTCATTTTCATAAATATACAAACTGTATGCTTGGGCGGAGGAGGGGTTAATGCCTTTTGTACTCTTTTTGATAAAATAATAAAAATAATGATCTTCACCCCTAGTGATATGCAGGTGTCAAGGTAAATATGACTAAAAATGTTTTGTCTGATTAGGGTGTCCATTTGGAATGATGTTAATTAATGGGTGTCCCTAAATTGCATAATACACCGCAATATACACTTGAAAAAATGAGTCCAATTGCATGTTAAAATGGGAAATGGTCACTCCAAACAAAATAGGGTGATAGAAAAGCAAAGCATATTACTAAGTAATGCTGTTTATACAACTTTACTAGTCACCACGATTTGTTTGTCAGTCGGTCAACAGCCATGTTAGCGAGTAGTTCTTCTTGGCCAGTATTATCTCAATTACCTTCATATACACTGGCATCAGTAATATCACGGACAGCTGCTGCCTCCACTATGTTTCTAATCACAAACTTCTTGATGGCCTTGTCTTTGGGCACACAGCGGGCACAGTTGGTGCAGCGAACAGGGTTGGTGTGGCCCCTGCCTTTCTTGCTGCGTCCGTTATTACGCCTTTTTTTGGTCTGGAAAATAAGAACTCTTGAGGTTATTCTACAGAGAAAGCTGGATATTGAAGTTTTTTCTTCCTGGGGTATCTAAGGTTTGACTAAACTGACCCTTAATTTAGTCAATACAACATTAACCAGTATTATTTTGCCATTCAAGTCTCAATAATAGGAGACATTTTCACAATTTGAACAGTACACATAAATAAATGTAGAAAAATTGAATCTCATAACTAGTGAAAATCTCACCAAGCATCTATGTGACACCGTAAACCCGTACATAACGATGAACTTGGCAACTAGATTGTGGCTGACTTATGACTACGGCGTACAACTACTCCTAATACTAGTCTAAACACATGGTCGTAGATTGTCTCAAATAATAACATAATGAAGTAAATTTAGTTTTCAGATATAAAAATTTAAGTCTTCCTATAACTTCATAATCCAATGTAAATATAGCATTAAATTTTATTAAATGGTTTAATACCCTAAATTGTTCATTTTATTGGATATGCATAACTTTCCTACCCACCATGTTGAATGCAGACCGGAAGAGAAAGCCATGTGTTTCGTGCGGGAAGCCCCATACTTTTTGAAGGTTCTCTAAAGCAATCGCAGAGCACGGGTAGGCTATCTTATCTGGTTTCTCTGTAGCAATCGTTTTATTGTTCCTTTTCAATCCTTTCTCTTACTAGCGATAGACTCTACATTTAATTTTAGGTCTACTACAGTTCTGCTAGCAGAAAGCACATTGTCGGTTTTAACTGTAAACATCGTCTGCGGTCAGTGTTTTTCCTTCTTTGACTGTTCAGACTCGGACTAGAGCACAAAAGAGAGGAGAAAGGGGGGGGTCCCAACGAACACGAAATTTTACCTTTGAACTGATTTTTTTAAGGTTTAGAGGGAAAGGTTACGATTTTTAGGTGAATAAGCAGAAGAAAAGTAGAGAATTAATAAATAATTGATAATTTTTATAGTAAACGTAAATCTAGTTCCATGATCTAAAGGTTGGAGCAGGGTGAGATATAGGACTGGAGCGACAAGTAGGCCTATCAAAATGCAAATTATGAATATCCAGTTGTGATGTTCGAAAGGAAAAAAATATTAAATCCCATACTGGACACTCACGTAGATCTGCTAGATGTTATGCAGAGACTCGGATATTTCGTCTTATATCACGAGTAGGCCTACATCTTCAGGGAACTGTCATTACAGGTGACTATGCTGGTGGTATTGGAGCGAAAAGTAGGTAAACTGGCATTTGTCATTTTCCTTCATGCCATGTTTCATGTAAAGGCAATCGATGCGAAAGCTTGCTCTATAATCATAAAAAAAAAAATACTTTGATTTAACACGTACGTGTTGTTTGGCT